AAACCGTTGGCAGAGAGAGAAGAGGACAACAAACGAGGGGCTGTGACAAACTGTTTCGTCGGAGTTTCACCGACTCATCAGGAGGCTGAACATATATATATATATATATATATATATATATATATATATATTGTCACACTGTAAATCAGAGCGCGAAGGCGGAAAAAAGCAAAACAACGAAAGGAAAAGAAGGAAAGCCCCACCTGTTCATCACCTCTTACGTACAAGGCCAGCCCCGTGGATGACAGGCTGAGCGCTAGCTGCCCCCATCCCCGTGTGTCACAAGGACCCACTTGCATCGTCAAACAGAGTTGGCCGGTAACCGTAGGCAGAGAGCGAGAAGAGGACAACAAACAAGGGCGGATATATAATATATATGTTTGCCTGATGCGTGCACATGCAGTCTGTAGAGTAATCCGTCTCGTGTGAGTGAGCGATAGTCTGCTACGATTTACGTCACAGGTGTACCCTGGAGAGCAGTGGTTGGTGCCCACCTCGGGCATCAGGTGTTCTGAACCGCAGTTAGTTGGCTTACTTGACAGAGCATCAGCATCGACTGTCATTGGTGGCGGGTTAAGGTGAGTTACCATCAGTTAGGGGACTGCATACTACACAGCCTCCTCCAGACGAGCCAGAGCACATCAGGCGAACGGTCCCCTGGTTTGACGTTCTCTTCACCCTCTCTAACTACGACGCTTCCCCAGAGATTCTCTATGTCGCAACTTATGTATATAATACTATATATATTGTCACACTGTGAATCGGAGCGCAAAGGGGGAAAGAGACAAAACAAAAAAAGGAAAGAAGGAAAAAAGCTCCTACTGTTCATCACCTCTTACGTACAAGGCCAGCCACGTGGATGACAGGTTGACCGCTGGCTGTCCACATATCCCCGTGTGTCACAAGGACCCACTTGCACGCAGCCAAAAGGAAAAAGAGAGGTAAAGAAAAGGAGGAGGAAACCAAACCTCACAGAGGCAAGAGAAAGAGAAAGGGATCCAGTCAAAAAAAGGACAAGGGAAGAGAACGGCCTATCGGTCAAACGAAGCAAATGACATATCCCACATATAAACCAATTGCCACTGTCACAACGAAGTTCCAACTTTTTTTCTTTTTTTTTTTCTTGTTTTCTTATATGTACATATGCCACCATAGAGAATGCCTGGTGAACCATAGGCACAGAGGGATATATATTGTCACAAAAATATCAGAGCGCAAATGCAAAAAAAAAGAAAGAAACAAAGGAAGAAAAACACGAAAAAATGAATTCAGCTAGGCTACCAGAGTGGCCCGGGGTCACTTGCCCGGCCGGGCCAAAAAATATATGATATTTTTAAGTTTTAATTTTTATTTTAATTTTGGTGAAGAATTTCGATGTGACCCTGAGGCAAAAGTTGTTCAGTTTATTTTTCTGCATAACATAGTTTTTTTTCTCGGATTTTTTGGAGGCTTTCGTTTTTTTTTTTGGCTGGGACCTCCTTGCACGGGCTGGCCACCCGGGACCCGGGCGGCCCGGTTGGTAGCCTAGGAATTCAGTCTTTTATCTTCTTCCTTATAACTCCCCCTGTTCAGAACCTCTTGCGTACAAGGCCGCCCACGTGGAATATATATACATATATATAGTCAAACAGAGCTGCCCGGAAAACCGTAGGCAGAGAGGGAGAAGAGGACAACAAACGAGGGGCTGTAGCAAACTGTTTCGTCGGAGTTTCACAGACTCATCAGGAGGCTAAGAGGACAACAAACGAGGGGCTGTGGCAAACTGTTTCGTCGGAGTTTCACCGACTCATCAGGAGGCTGAACCCTCAACAATCTGCAGAATCCCCTAACTGATTACACTGTAAGTGATAATCCACCTTAACCCCGGCTGTGGTTAAGCATCAACGACTGCCCGACAACTGATACCTTGAGGTGGGCATCAACCACTGCCCTCAAGGTACCTGTGGCAGAAGTCAAAGCAGACTATCACTCACCCACACCAGATGGAAAACTCTACAGACTGTCGGTTCACACCCCATCACAAGCAAGCAAAACACCCACGTTGATATCATGTGACAATATATATATATATATATATATATAGTATGTGCATCGTCAAACAAGAGCTGCTCTGCATAACGCAGGCAGAGAGGGAGGGAGAAGAGGACCACAAACGAGGGGCTGTGACAAACTGTTCCGTCGGAGTTTCACCGCCTATAATCGTCAAACAGAACTGCCCGGCAAGTCACAAGACCTCGCGCTCCACTACTCACCAATCGTGCAAAACGTGATTGAATCTTCCGCTAGAACACGGAATACTACAGCAATATTTTTTGTCTTTTATGCACGTGGAGAGTAGTGGACCGAGGCCCATAGGCAGAGAGGGAGGAGAACAACAAACGAGGTCTGTTACAATCTTTCCTTGTATTGTCACCGGCTCATCAGGAGGCTGAACGGCTTCAGAGACGGCCCTTGCTGAACCGTAGGCAAAGAGGGAGAAGACGACAAACGACGGGCTGTGACATACTTGTTTCGTCGGAGATCCCGATGCATATGGCGAGAATCCCGATGCATATGGCGGGGATCCCGATGCATATGGCGATACGTAAGACCCCGTTTCGGGGGAGTGACAGGCGAGCCAAAGATCCTGGAGCAACTTTTCTTCATCACCATCGACGAAGATCAGGGCACCACGTTTTTCACCAATCATCGACGGTGACGGTGGCCTTAACATCGAACGTCTCCTCCCTGAAATATCTCTCACGTACTTATTAATATCCCGTAGATCGTCGAACAAACTGTTAAATTTTCACTGTTAAATTTGCACTGTTGAAAAGTCCACATCCAGAAGGTACGCATTGAGACGGATTTCCGGGAACAGGCCCTTCGCGAGAGCCTCGACGCACAGTTTTTCTTGATTTCTTGACTATCAAAATTTAGGCCCGTGGGTTTCTTCACATTTATGACTGGCCCTTCATTTCGGCAAGAACGAAGAAACTGCAGATTCCCCAAACACAAACAAAAAAGGGATACCTGGATGAGCACGACGTCAGCCATCCGTACGATCATTAGTTCTTACGCTAATGTTATAATACGGTAAACCGTAGTCAGAGAGGGAGAAGAGGATCACAACCGAGGGCCTGTGACTAACTGTTTCGTCTGAGTTTCACATTTTCTTATATATATACAAATCCGTATGTATATATGCATGTGTATATATCGTCAAACAGAGCTGCCCGGTAAACCGTAGGCAGAGAAGGAGAAGAGGACAAGAAACAAGGGGCTGTGATAAACTGTTTCGTCGGAGTTTCACCGACTCATCAGGAGGCACATATATACGTATATATATATATATATGGTCACTGTGTATTGTCACATTGTGAATCGGAGCGCAAACGCGGAAAAAGACAAAAAAGAGAAGGAAAGAAAACCCCACCTATTCATCACCTCTTACGTACAAGGCCAGCCACGTGGATAACAGGTTGAGCGCTGGCCGCCCCCATCCATCCCCGTGTGTCACAAGGACCCACTTGCACGCAGTCAAAAGGCAAAGAGGTAAAGAGGAGGAAACCAAACCCGACAGAGAGAAAGTCTATCAGTCGAACAAAGCAAATGACACATCACACAGATAATCCAATTGCCACAAAACAAGTAACACATCCCACAGATTCAACATTTCTTTTCTTTCTTCTTGTTTTCTTTTTTCCTCTTCTTTTTTCGGCAATTTGTTCTTTCATTTTTTTTGCTTCTTTCTTTGACTCCGTATCTGTCGGTAGTGTCGAAGGCTTTCTGTCCCCAGCTCGGCAGATAGGACAGCTACGGTGAGGATGATGTAGATGTTCTATCTCGTTTTTTGCCAGTTAATAATTTCAAATGAACAACTTACATATATACAAACGAAGATATATACATTTACGTACCGTCCATCACCCCTCAAGAGATTACATGTCATTACTATTGGAGTGAAACAGTTCCACCCAAAGAAATATAAATGAAAACGGAGACGTAAAAACGAAGCCGAAATATGGCTCAGTAAAAGAAAGGGAGAAGAGAGTGGGGGGGGAGGGGCGATCACCACCCTCTCGTCATCAAAAGAAAACAGCGTTCCTCATCGAGCATCTTCATTTACCTCCCTTCTTCACTGGATAAGCGATGCGGATACACGTACACCACCTTCCCATGCATGCATGCACTTCAGTTACCCAGCGATGCAAGTGCGCATGCCCGTACACCGCCACGCGTGCATGCATGCATGCTTGCCATCGTTCATGCATGCATGCACGCTCGCCATCGTTCATGCGTGCACGCATGTCATCGCTCAAGCATGGATGCATGCATGCATGCACGTGCATGCATGCGTGCGTATGCCCGTGCATGCATGCGTGTGTATGCACGCACACGCATGCCAGCTGTGCATGCATGCACACGCACGCCAGCTGTAATGTTCGCTCAGCTGCACTGCGACGTGCCTGACAGCAAGAGCACGGGAAGGAGTCCTACTGCTACATTTCTATCACGGTGGCGTGCACACTTGCCACCCGTGATGTTCGCTCAGCTGCACTGCAACATGTCTGACAGCAACAACAAGCGCTTTGTAATCCTCTTCGCTAGGGGGATGTCGCCCCTATATCTCTTGTATAACGAAGAAAAAACACAATATCCAGGAGAGAGACTTAAAATGGCCTTGAAAAACCTCACCACTGAAAATGGCCTTTTAAATCCAAACAAAGAAAGAGAAGACCGCAAAAGACAGAGGAGACGGACGAGCAGACGGAAAAACAACCCCCAAAAAAACAGCAAAGAAGATAAACAACAATCGACACTTCCATCATCCTCCACAGCCGACCGCCTTTTTTCCCTCCACTTTCTTCTCTTCCCTTTCCTCGCCACCCGCCTTTCCACACCCCTCCCAAAGAAAACTCATCATCGTTTTAAAAAAAAGGTCATTACTACACCATCCATCTGTTATTTTTATTTTTTTCCTCACGAGAAATCCGAAAGAACACAAAAAAGGGAACCAGAACAAGCAACACCTCCCATATGATTGGAAGGTGACACGACGGACAAAGAAAAAAAAAAAGGAACGACGAGAAATACTCGACACAAACCCCCAACAGAAAGAGGAAAAAAATATACCAGAAGCAATAACTGGGGAGAGACTAAAAAATCATGCCTACGTACGTAGAGCCCGAATACACGAAGACAAAACAAACGTACGCACGCCATGCATGACAAGCGTACCCAGAGAGAGCGATGACAGCGTTCAAAACCACCCAAAAAGAAAGAAAATAGGATTAAAAATTCCACATCCGACAAAAGGAGGGTGGGGTCGAGGGATGGAGGAACAAAATATGTCCATACGCCAGTTATCACAAGCAAACACACACATCCATACGTACGCACGCACAGACGCCATGCATGTGCTATGCATGACAAGCGAAAACGTACATCCGTACGTACGCACGCACAGACGCCATGCATGACAAGCGAAAACATATGTACGTACGTACATGCGTACGTCATGCATGGCAAGCATCATACCCAGAGACAGCGACAACAGTCTTATCCGCGACAACAACTATTGTTTCTCGAAAAATCAGAAAAATGAAATTCTCTAATAGAAGGGCGGGCGGAAAACACGCCAGCTGCCTAAGACATCTCCTCGTTCCCACCCCAAGAACAAACTAACTCCACCCGCATGCAGTTTCACGTCCACCGGCGGCATGAAGTCTCACGTCCACCATCAGAGTATCACCAGTTTCAGGTTCCCCCCCCCCCCCCCACCTAATCCTGCCTTGACCAACAAAGTACTTCCGCGAAAAACAAGGAAAAAGAGCGAGAGAATATTCGTCCCTCCGCCTGAAACGCCCGCCCGTTCGCCCACCTGCAAAGAGTACTCCATCCGCCCCGACAGACAAAAGCGACGAACCGCAACCAGGACACCTCAAGACAACTGAAGAACCACCTCTCCCGACTTCTTTTTCATCCTTCGTTTCCCCCTCTCGCTCCTGTCCTGACTTCTTTTACGTCCAATTACTCTACCCCTCCCTTCCCTCCCTATCTCCCGTTCTATCTTTCTACAACTCCTACATCTCCCGCCGACAAGCTCTCCTAAAACAACTCAAAGACACACACCTCTCCTCAACAGCACGAGAAAGTGCACAGCGCACCGTTAGCATTCCCACTCGACTATCATCACCTTCATCATCATCACCATCATCATCGTCGTCTTTCTCACCGCCTCCTCACCCCTTCCCCTCTCCCTCCTCTCGCCCACCCCCTCTCCAGCTCTCCACTTTTTGTGTCAGTCTCTGCCAAAACAACATACTCTACAACTTTCAACATCCAGCCCTTCKTTTTCTGATTTACAATCTCTCGCGCTCGACACTACGCGAGCTAACCGTTCCCCCGCCGTGACTGTCGTTGACCACCCCCCGCCCCCCTCCCCTTGCTCTCTTCTTTCCCCCCGCCCTCCCTCCATCGCCATCCTTTCCTTCCCCGCCTCCCCGGTTATACTCTAGACTCATCCGAAACGACATAATTCGACCACACAAACAACCTCTCTCTCTCTCTCTCTCTCTCACTCTCTCTCTCTCTCTCTCTCTCTCTCTCTCTCTCTCTCTCTCTCTCTCTCTCTCTCTCTCTCTCTCCCCCCCCGTCCCCCTTTCCCTCTCCACCACTCGGTCCCCTAACATACGCACATGCCCACTTTCCCTTTCCTTCACTCGCCCCCCCCCCCCACGCTTTCAGCAAACCCTCTACATGGTCGATACGATGAACACTCTCTTAAAGGATTGGCACTTGTCAGTTATTTAGGCCCCACATCCTTGACGGCCGCTATCTGCTCCTCTCCCATCGCTGACATGACCGTAACCATGAGCTCTTTCCCCGCTGAGTAACCTTCCTTCAGCTGATTGGCTAGCGCCGTGTCGTTGGGCAGGCGGATGTGGTCCATGGTGTCGCCCTTATCAGAGAGGAGGCTGACAAAACCCTCGTCCGTAATGTCGAGGAGAGTGTAATCTGTACGTGTCACTTCCGGGACGTCGCAGTTGTGAGAGGACGGCACAATATCCTCGAGCTTCTTGCCAGTGAAGATGTCAATCCCAACGAAATGACACTTGGCGTGACCGTGCTTACCTGTCTTAGAGGTTGAAACCTCTACCACCTTGCACGGACGGCTCTTGATGACGATGAAAGCATTCTTCCTGATAGTTCCCGCCTGCTGGGGGAACGTCTTCGAGGCGCCGGAGTCGGCCTTGTGCTCAAAATGATGTTCCTCGTCCGCCATAGCTCGCTGCTGCTGCTGCTGCTGCTGCTGCTGCTGCTGCCGCCTCTCCTCTGTGTCCCTCCTCCTCACTCTCCTTCCTGACGGCCTGGCCTGCCCTGCCCTCCTTCTCCAACTAGCCTCCGCTTATGCAGCTCTTTTTCTCTCCTTCTCCTTCCTTGCTTTCGCGGCGGCAGCGTTCCCTCCTCCCTCCCTCCCGAGCGTGCGCCTCTCTCTCTCTCTCTCTCTCTCTCTCTCTCTCCGTTGGTCTATCTCTCCGCGAGCGACGCCCGGTGATGTGCGATCACCGACCGCCGCGACGCCCACAGACTTCGCGACCTTGCTGCCTCCGCTCTTCCCCATTCATCGGTTTCTTTCCTTTTTAATACGGGTTTGATCCCCTGACTTGTCAATCGTACAGTACAGTTATACCGACCACTGTGCACCCGATTGGGCCCCCCCCTAATTGTCCCTCGACAGCCAAATTAGGTTAGGTAGGTATATAAGGTAATATAAGGTAAGGAAAAGCAGGAGGGCGGGGGGAGGGGATTAATTTTCATTGTTTCATTTTTCCCTTTTTTCCCCTCGCGAAGATTCCAAATCGGACGAACGCACGGACAGCCGACCACTCATGGCAGGAAGCTCGCCGAGCCTTGGCTGTTTCCCTCTAAGGGCTCCTTCACAGGGGCTTTCTCAGATGGCAGGCAGCTCGCCGAGCCTTTCTGTTTCCCTCTGAGGGCTCTTTCACAGGAGCCTTTGTCAGTCTTTCCTAAACTGAACCCTGGGAAAAATATATGTCCAGATGCATGCCCGAGAGGGCGTCGTGTGGAGGGAACATGGGCTAATAACCCGTCATCCGTCGGTGGCCTGCCCAGCTCGGCAATACCGCTGGCTTAGGAAACACGTTTTCACGACTCTACAGAACCCTCCGTAGCGCTTCAAACGGGCCAGGTGCGGAGTCCGTCGTTGGCATCTCTGTAGCCACTGGGGAAAGATAAATCGCCGCCTGGCCACACCGGCAGACGCGCATGCGGGACGTGCGCGAGAAAGAACCTGGACCGCTTCTCGGGAAGGTTCGCGCGCGCATAGCGTGCGATTTCGCGTAGTTTTTTACCCAGAGGATATCCCCTCTGCTAATTAGTTTACTAGTTCGCTGGTACACGTGGCGCTACCTCACTGGGGAGCAGCATCACCCCTATGCTCCGCTGCTGCAGTTAGGGCATACCACACTGCTACCGGTAGGACTTTCGTGACATGCATCGGGCTGCAGTCCCGACGAAAATTCTGGCCAAAAAGTGCGGTGTGATCCAAATCAGTCAATCATACACTATCCCTCATGATGTGACAAGTTGTCATCCAGTGGACGAAAGAAAAGAAAAAAAAAAAGAAACAAAAAAAGGATGGAAGTGGGGAAACAACCCGAAAACAACAGAACATGGGTGGAAGTGCAAGTGCTGGGTATCAGCCCTATCTTCCCGGAAAGGCAAAAGTCACAGAACGGACATGCCCGATTAGGTTTCAAACAGGAGAACCCACCCAGCCTATGTGGCTCAATTGTACACCCAAGAACTGTTGATAAACAGTCCTGAGCTCGAATCGCGATCAGATCGGTTGGATGGAGTAGCTCCTGACCCCCCTGATGATGATGCCTCAAGCCCATCGCCCTGTTTGGGAAAAAAGAAGATAAAAAGTGGAACCCAGCAGTGTCAGAGTGCATCTGGATGCGCAGAAAGCCAGATCCATGACCTGCACAATCCTCGACCTCCACCTAGACATGGGGACAACTAACGTAGCTTCAGGATTTCACAAACACAAGTCATGTCCTTGCGGTGCTCCCCCTCGCCGGCCACGCCCGCTGCCCCGCGCCCCACACCAAGCCCTCCTCCGTTGAAGAAATAAAGCAAATGGACCCTGCTGGGGGGCGGAAATACACATCAACATGGATCAGGATTACTTCTGGACCCACTTGCCCACGGCCTATGCTGTGAGATGGAAAGGGCTTGTCCGTCCGTTCAGTCCATTGGCTCCCGCCGGCAGCGGTTTGGACGTCCAGGGTTGGGCTGAAGAGAGGCTTGGCAAAAAAATCAGAGGGCGGAGCTCCAGAATATTTGGCCCTGGACCGTGGAGGGAGGGGTACCGGGCGCCGCCTGCGGTAGCGGTAACGCGCCACTCGCCGAGGCAGTCATGGCGCAGAACGATCGTCAATTCCTATGCTATGCTGGTTGGACGCCGTGCCACTTAACCGCAATAGCGATTGCTATGGTGGCAGGGCTATGAAGGCTTCCTCTCATACAGAGAGGAAACGACTTTGTCGAAGCCAGGTCTATCCCCCGTGAGTGGCTTGTGTACCCTGGCCCACTACCTGCTGAGGAGGGAATGCTGAAGACCGAAGAGACCATTGGTACTTGAAGTTGAACGGGCGCACACTCCCGGATGGGAGTTCAGCACTGCCATTGACTCCTTGAGGTATATTTATGATGACTCCTTATGGATGGAACCAATATCGAAAGGAATGAGACTCAGACTTACCCTAATTTATCAAAGCCTCGGAGTATATATAGAATATATAATCCCCTATCTTGGCTTATTTTAGGATTGTTGCTGACGTTGTCTTTGACTGACCCGATAGACCAAACTCACCAACCAGGGGCGGTAGGGGAGGGGAAGGGCAAGGCATACCCCGAAGGGAATACACGGACGAAGAGAAGGAACATATCGACTCACTACTGGATGGATGCTTCAGTGATGGAGTTATTCCGTCAGGATTAAAATTGGAGTCCCCTCTTTAACTGACAATCTGGCGAGATTTGATATGAGTGAGGGATTTTCCGAATACAACGTGCAGTGGTTGAAAAAACATGTTGTCACTATCCTATTCCTTAATGATGTTGCCGTACTCTCGCATAAGGTTAAAAAACAGTTGGTGCGAATTTATGCACTAGAACAAAGAGGAATAGCCCTTCCCTGGTGCAAGTTCTGCAAATCTGCCTTCCCGTCCATTGATTCCGGAAACAATAGAACATATATTTCTTCAATGCCAGGGTCGGTTTGGCTATGGCGTTGGTGGGACAGGATCATTGATAGAACTACACTAGAACAAAGAGGAATAACCCTTCCCTGGTGCAAGTTCTGCAAATCTACCTTCCCGTCCAAATTGATTCCGAAAACAATAGAACATATATTTCTGAATGCCCAGGGTCGGTTTGGCTATGGCGTTGGTGGGACATGATTTGGAATCAGATAGAAACCTCCCTACCATGACCATGGAACTGGAAAGCTCTCCTCCTGGAAGCCTGGGCCCCATCATGTGAAGATAGCTTTACAACTAACCTATTCACGACTGGGATAAGAGTTGTTATCTGGGCCATATCGTCTCACAGGTGCATATTTGAAATGAAAGATGTCCGTCTAGATGGGCTTGAGTTCACGGATACCATCAAGCAACAAATCCAACTAGAGATTAACTCTAGATGGGAAACATTAAAAGAAAAACTAAAACCTTTGACAGCTGAAAAATAAATCAAACAACACATAAAAACTTTCAATCAAAATTGGCTCGGAGGGAAACAAGGTGGTAAAATAGGGCAGGTTAAATGGAATGGAGTGTGCGAGATTGCTCATGGTGAGCTCCTAAGGAATTACCACTTATACTTTAATGACTGGAGCAACATTGATCTCTACATTCCCCTCAGCCCCCTATCTGATTTTCCTGATCCTTTTCCGCCACGAAAGTTGGCCTGAGTTCCTAGTTCATGGTTTGTGCTTGAGTGATCAACTGTGTCTCAGTATTGCGTTTATCTGTGGAATCCAGTCCCAACTCCTGATAAGCAGGTTGGGAGTGTTAATACTGCTAGGTGCAATGGCTTATCTGGCGCCTGGTTAGGGTGAAGAGGCATAACAATTCCCAGCATTTCCAGATCCGGTGTCTGTTCATTATTGATGATGTAAAGGGACGCTGGACCTGGTTTCTAGCAGGTGCAACTCTCCACCAATGGAACGGAGCCATCTATCCATCTAGGGGAGTAGAGGGAGTGTTTGCTTTTATCAGCACGTCCTCTACTCCCCAACATAGATGGTAAAAAAAAAAAAAAAAAAAAAAAAAAACGCTTGGTACGATTCCGGTTTGCTTGACGAAGGAGTCAAACGTGGTCGATATCAGAGTGAAGGAAAGAACCTTTGCTCCTTTGTCTCGTCCCAAACGAACGTGATTGAATGGATGATCCACAAAAAAATGGATAAAATCTACGCGGATGGTAAAGAGTATAAAGTGCAGTTTATGCCATGCATGACATTAGCTGAAATCGAAACTTTCAAAAATCTGACACATAGTTTTTTTTTTAGTAGAGTTGATGACTGCATTGCTAACTGCTGTTGAAAACACCTTTGGGACAATTATCAAACAACATCCCATTGAACCTGATGATGAAGAACCAGTATTGGGTACAGTGAGATTTGAGCTCGAGCCCCAAGCGAGCTTGAGGGTTAAACCACGTTTGGCGGTAGGAATCCCACATCAGGGGGACAACTACTTTGAGATTATTTCAGCAAGTACCCTATGGTGTGGTCTTTGTCGAGCCTTTTATCACGACGAGACAGATGATTGCTGCCCTATGAGGGCAGAAGTGGAACACGATCCTTTCAACGAGGAGGGGGGGGGAATTTTCCCTCTAGAACCGTCTTTTTCATGTTTTGTCCCGTTGGGAAAAAGCCCCCCGTTTAAGTTGACCGGATATCGAAGGTTTTTCTCGCCAGGAGACAGCGCAATCGTAATTGGAATCCAAAAGCAGGTAGGATATATGAAAGATCGACAAGTCCATCGGATAGCCATAAGACTGGCGGCAGTAGGGTAAAGGGTAACAAGTCCAAATGGGGAAAAGCAAGGAGAGAACCATCCGAAGAAGAAATTGATGAAGATGAAGTGGACGAGGAGGAGGAAGAAGACGGGGAAGATGGGGAGTCTACCCCCCATTTGAAAAAATGGGCAGTGGGGGTATCGGCAAAAGGGAAGAAGAACAAGAAAGGGAAATCCATGGAAAATCGAAATGAGTGATCTCATAAATGGGTGCCGAGAGGCAAGGGAGGGGGGTAGGGGTCGGGAGATGCCGGAATGGACAGTGAAAAAACTTCAGGAATGGGAAAAATGAAGGATGGTGGGACTTATAGAGGCAGACCCCGTGACAACTCTGGGCGCAGAGGACCAGAATATTCCTAAGACTCTGGTCCCATTAATTCTAGCAGATCCAAAAAAAAAACGGTAATGGTAATGTCCAATCTGCTTCCGGACGGGATGATGAAACTACCCACGAGAGAAGCAGACATAACC